TTGAGAAGCTCAGTGAAACCCTAATTCATGTGGTACTCGACGGGTATGGGGGTGATTGAAACCCTCATTGTGCATGAAACCTCATTAAGAGCTTAGAATTTCCATTAAGAGCCCTTTTAGCCATGTATACACGTAAAGTTTTCAACTTTACGTGAAAAGCATGCTCTAGAAGCTTGGATCTGTAATTTGGAGCCATTACATGGCTTAGATGAGTCTGTATGGCTTAAGGGCTAAAGGAACTCGACGAGTCGCAAGGTTGACTCGGCGAGTTGTATGAAGATGGCCTTGAACTCGACGAGTTGGATGAGCAACTCAGCGAGTCCGATGAAGATTGCCATAGACTCGGCGAGTTGTATGAACAACTCGGCGAGTCGAATGAGTTTTCTCCAGGATATGTATGCGTGTGTATCCGTCGAGTTGCAAGAAGGAAACTCAACGGGTAGCTTAAAAGTGTGATCAAGAATCGGAGGAACTCGACGAGTCACCTAGATGACTTGGCGAGTTGGATAGTGCTTCAAGGAACTCGATGAGTAGCCGAGGGTGCTCAGCGAGTTAAGGTCAACATGGACTGTTGACCTTGACGAAGGACTTTGACCTTCGATAGGGTTTTACTAGTGGGTTATAGAGTACCTTATAAGGTTAAGGACTTATGAGTATATTATACTATGGTAATATGTGGTGGAGCCTGTGTCAAGTGACCCGAGAATTGGTGTTTATCTTCCGAGTCGGCATCTGCAAGGTGAGTTATCCTCACTATAACGATAAGGTCTAAGGCACCAAGGCCGACCCTTTAGTTGTTATTGTTATGGTATGCTACATGTGGATATGATCCGCTAGATCAAAATCAAGATAGACTATATGTTATGTTCTTATGATCCATAAGGATTGATATGTTAGTGACTTGCTAGGTCAGTGCTCTAGTTATGATAGATTGCTATGTTTGGTAATCAGTGAGATAGATATGTTCGATGTTTTGTATATGCCAGTAAATGTTTGTTATGCCACATGGTTATTTGCTTGTTGCATGGGTTGAGACGGTCATGCTTTGTGCTGAAGGCCAACACACCTTAGGAGCAGTCCGGGAAGACTGTAGGCCCACGTGGCGGTCCATTCATGCTGAAGGCTCGATGTAGATCCAGTTGGACTGTAGGCCCTGTAGGGAGGTCCAGTCAGGCCGATGGCCCAATATGCATGTTGATTAATTGGTTATTACACATATGGTATTATCAGTGTGGTATTGGTATTTTTGGGGGTAGCTCACTAAGCCCTCGGGCTTACAGTTTTTAGTTTATTGTTTTAGGTACCTCAGGAGTTCATAGCAAAGCGAAGGCGTGACCGTAACACTCCTCATCCTTATGGTCTGGCTTTTAGGACACTCTGATTGAACAATGAATAGAAAACACTTTTGTAAACAATTCCAATTTGGTTTTATTTATGCTTGAAAAGTTTAAATTTGGCGTAAAATTTTCGGATGTTACACAATCAATCCATAATGACCCAAATCAAATCCATTCCCTATGTGCTAATTCAATTAACTCCTTGTTGATGGTTCGTCACACAAACTCATATATTAACATACCTATTTTCTAGTTAACCCTAGTTTCACGTTCGCTATTCCTAGGCATATAACAATGTTTTCACATAAATCATATGAGATTAGCAACTAAGAGATGTTCTTGCAACTTAATTACTGGTTAATTAACAGAAATTAGTTGTAATTAACACATAAGGTTCTTTAACAAGCTTAACAAAACAAAATCACCAAATTAAATTAATCAAATCATAAAATCAAACCATATTCATAAAATCATCTATCCTAAACAGAAGTTATGAGTTTTTAGCTCATATCTACAACAAATAACAAACTAAAAACATAATATAATGATTGAAACATGGTTCATGCAAAAGATTAAGATAAAAGTAATGTGTTATTGTCTTTGATCTTCTTCCAAATTGATATCTAAGTTGAAATCTCGAAAACAACAGCTTCTAAGAACCCTCATGGCCTCTAAAAATCGTCCTAAATTTCCCTTATTCGTTAGGGTTTGAATGAGAAACATTTCTATATATATATTTTGAAAACAGGGTCGACTCGACGTGTCCAGTGACCGACTCGACGAGTCCATCAATTAAAATCCCGTGTACGGCAAGTCAGCGTGAAGAATCGCGAAGCTTCTGACCAACTCGTCGAGTTGATGGCCAACTCGTCAAGTCCGTTTGGAATCAACATTTTTCTCAAAACATAAAAATCGTCCGAAATTGTGTCTACTTTCAGAACATTTTGAATATTGTCAATTAGAGTTACGGTTCATGAACCATGTAAAATGCCAATTCAACTTGACAACCTATAAAATTAGGTAAATTGTGTAATTTACAGATTACCAACAAGTTTAATGATCAGGAATGCAAAAGAAAAATTAAAAAATAAGTAATATTTTGAAATAAATAGAAAAAATTTTAGATTAAAAATTTCCTTAGAAAAATCACATAAATATCCGTTTTCTTACATAAATTAGTAAAGAAATAAAATTTGTTAAATAAAAAGTAAATTATAGAAATGGTCCATGTGGTTTGGTTGAATTCGCAGGTTTAGTCCAAACTTTGAAAATTTGATAGATTGTGTCCCTATGTTTTGGAAAAATTATACCATTGGTCCCTATTGGTGACGTTGTTAAGAATCAGAACGTCTGAGTAAAAGACCAACACACGCCTATTTATTATTTTTTTTATTTAACAAAGTATATGACAAGTTATGTAAGAAAAATTAAAGGAATAAAAGCATTAAATTTTAACCCATCGCCGATTGTCCCATCGTCCTGCTCCACATTCAAGCCCTATGAACTTCTTTCGCACCCATCATCTAACCACCACCGACTTAGTCTAAAAATAAAGTTCAATTGAAAGAAAATCACATTAATGTTTGCTTATGTTGTATCTGTTGGTTGCTGGTGCCATCTTTGTTGGTTGTCATCTTCGTTTCAACCATTTTGATTTTGCTCCTTTACATATTTCAAGTGAAACTAATTGACATAGAGCATTGTAGTCGATTCTGATTCATAAAAAACACTTCCAAACACCCTTATTCACCATTTCAATTTCAGAAGATCGAAAAAGAATCATGAAGAAAAAAAAAGAAATAAATGTACAAGCTATAATTAAAGATGAACATGCTATTCACGAACCACAAATTCAACTTCTTGGTTTTATAAATAAATCAAATGAATCAAAGACCAACAAGCTCATCTAATTTCCATATTTTAGAGTTGATTTTGGGTTTGATTAGGACATCTTTTAAAAGGTTTTGGATTTTAGAAGGTTAAACAAGTTGTTGCTTGTTCATCTAGTTGGAGGAGCTTTAGTTTCTTTGGGTGGTAGTGGTGGTTAAAGCTATCAAATGAGAAATGGTAGAGAAGAAGGGAGTGGGTGGAGATGGCGGCAAGGTGTGTGGATTGGGGTGAGACTTGAGAGATAGCAAAAACCACCTTGATGGAGGCAAATAAAAGGGAGATAGGGTTAGATCTACTGGAGAAGATGCAGACGATGGTGTAGTCGACGATGGTGTCCGACGATGGTGGTTTGGAGCAAAGAGAGGGGAGAAATAAAGAGTATAGAGTGTGAGTACCAAATAGTGAACGCTTAAGAAATTTTTGGTTTAAAGATTATTATATTATTTTTATTTTGATTGTAGTTTGATTTTTAGCACCTCGAGTTTGTAAAGTATAAAATAAAAGGTATGAACTAAAAAAGAAGGGATATATTGGTCATTTTAATCATACTTAACATTTGATTTCTAACGAACATTATCATGAAGGGACCATCACTATAATTTCTTCAAACCATAAAGATGGTCACTTTCAAATTTTCAAAGATTAGACCAAACTTACAAATTTACTAAACCATAAGGACATTTCTATAATTACTCTTAAATAAATAAACCCACTAACATATTTTAATTATAATATATTTTTCCAACTCTAGTAAGTAATGTTACATCATGCACCTACGTTATACAAAGTTTAACAAATTCTTCAAATGTCATCATCACAAGTTTTGAAAGATTCAATATACGGATTTGAAAGATTAATTGTTTAACATATTTAAAAAAGAAAATCAAAGGAAGCTATCATGAACAAGTCTCTTGTTATTGCTTGTCAAACATCACCGGTTACGTTACACTCGATTGATGGAAACTTATTAGAATACAAAGTTTTGACAGATTCGCCAGCCAACTCAATTCTCATACAAAAAAAGAAAAAGAAAAAATCATTTATATATTACAATAGCCTGTTTTAATTTTTAATATATATTTTTCTAAATAAAATAAAATTAAAAACCTTCAAATCTCCAATCTTTAAGCATATAACTTCAAATAGAACAAAAAGTTTTTTTAACCTGTTTAAAAACACTGTGTGGTCTCTCTCAATTTGCTTTCGGCTATCAAAGAAGCTTAATAAGCCACAAAAAGCACTTCTTCCCCCATTCTTTATCTTTTGCTTTTTCAAAGTAACTTTCGTTTTTGCGTTTAAATAAAAATAAATATGTATAAAAATTGTATATACATATTCTTGGTGCTACGACGTCGTGTCTTTCCTCTCCTATGTTAACTTCCTCAAATCCCAATCTGCTTTTTACCCATTTTTATCATTCGAAGAAACCGTTTCCAGGAGCCATGGGTCCCATTGTTATTCCAATTCCCTCCAAACTTTCCCTTTTCTTGGAAGAAGTAATTTCTCAGCTCATCAACACTCACTTTTCACCCACTCAGTCTCAATCCAAGAACACCAACTTTTTTGTTTTATTTGTCTGTTCTTTCTTCACTGGCTTCCACAATTTAAAACCCCACGAGAAAGATTCAATCTTCAGATATTATATTACTTTTATTTTGTTGTTGTTGTTGATTACGATAGGTTTTGAACAAGTCTTTTATGTGGGTTTCTTGTAATTTAACTCGAGGTTCGGTGAATTTGATGTGGGTCTGTTAATGTTTATCGGACAAAAAAATGGAAGAAGAAGGTTCATCAGTAAGATTGGTTCGCTGCCCTAAATGTGAAAATCTTCTTCCCGAGCTTCCTGAGTACTCTGTTTACCAGTGCGGAGGCTGTGGTGCTGTTCTTCGAGGTAATTTTGCAACCTTATACCCCATTCATATAAATTAAACAACTTTATCTTCATGTTTTGTAATGTGTTTATATACAAATTTTGACTTTTGATAGTCAAATCATTAGCTTTCTAAGTTTTAGCTACAAAATCTGTAAGAATTATGTCGATTATTGAAAGAAACTTGTTAGTTACATTAATTTTATAGAAACGGGATTCATGTAAGAACACATTCTTAGCTAACATCAATACCAATAGAGACTTAGAATATGCAAAGCCCCACGTTTGACCTTCCAAAATCAGAAATATTAATAGGAGATGACGAGGTATATTCTTGATTCTTGAAAGAAATGTGTATGATATATGTGATGGATGTTGTGTTTTGGATGAATCAGGAAAACAATCCACTCCAGCTCGTGAAAAAAAACCCTTAGAAAGATCTGATAACGAGAAGAAAGAAAAAGCTAGTCTAGAGTCTGGTTCTGTTATCGAAAGAGAAAATGATGAATTTGAGCTTGGAAGAAGGCAGGGTAAAACCGTCCACGAAAAAATTTCAAAACTGTCCGCTAGTTCTTCATCTAAAAAAGAGAAACGCGAAAGATTCACAGATTCGGATCAAATTAGGAAACGAAGGCTTGATTTTGATCAAACCAAAGTGAAAGTTTTCAACGATTGGGACATGAATGTTCCTAAATATGGCGAATCACAAGAAATTAGACACCCTTTTGGTCCAATTAGGTCAAGGACAGTGGGGATTCATAGAAATTCTAGTACAGTCGAAAGGGATAGATTTGGGAATTTACCATATTCAAACGAAGGTCCTTCAAGTTCTCACAGCTTTGGTGGTTTAAATGAGCTGACAAGGGTTCAAGATTTAGAAAATGATAGAGCCCAACTTCTTCAAAAACTTGATGAATTAAGAACTCAACTTACCAGATCATGCAATGTAACCGAAAACCCAAATGGAAGATTAACCGGTTCGTATCCATGGCCACATCAGCTTCCACATCAGCCCTCACATCATCAATACCTACCTGCAACATACCATGACCCTTTTCTTGGCTACAATCAAGACACCCTTTTTCATCGCCCTTCATGTTCATGTTCACAATGCTACAACACGAATTGGCACAGTAATACCCTTCCAAAGACCCGTCCTTTTCCGTCTTTTAACAGCCTCCCTGCTCATGATCCTCTGACTTACGGTCCACGTCAGCTGCCACGTCATCTTGATTCGGGAACTGGTAGTTTTGGTAGAAGATATCCAAGAAGACGGGTGATTCTGAGTCATGGAGGTGAACGTGTATCGCGTCCTGTATCTGGTGGTGCTCCTTTTATAAGTTGTTGTAATTGCTTCGAGCTGCTAAAAATCCCTAAAAAACTTTGGGTTATGGAAAAGAATGTTCATAAAAAGATGAAATGTGCAGTTTGTTCTTCTTTAATATCCATAACACTTGAGGATAACAGAATCGTTACTTCAGTTTCTTCATCACAACAAAAAGTCAACAAAACAAAGTCAAACCCTAGCGTTCATAGCTCTCGCGATTACGATAAATCCGGTTACAACTTCCAGTTGACAGACGCCGAACCAAATTTATCACCAAATGAGCAAAGCCCTGATGCTGCTGCAACTGTAATTGACAAACCATCATTGTCAATGTCAAATGAGAATTTAGAAAGTCAAAATAACGATTTGAGTCAAAGTCAAAGAAGGGACGAGGAAAGGGTGATTGTTGAAAACAAGAAGTCTTTGAAAGATGCATTGGTGGCGACTGAGATTGATGTGTCTTTAACTGAGTATTTAAACTGTGAAGCTGTTAGTAAAGATAAAGAAGATGATCAAATAAGGAACAAGAAAGGAGGAACAGAATCTTTCTTTGCGGGTTTGATTAAGAAGAGACTTAAAGATTTTTCAAGGTCGAGTAGTGAACGTGTAGTGGAGAAGGGAAGATCGGATGTTTTTGTGAATGGTCAACTTCTGACTGATCGTCAAGTTAAAAAGGCAGAGAAGTTAGCTGGGCCTATTCATCCTGGAGAGTTCTGGTTAGTATTTATACCAATTTTGACTTTTATGGTCAAACATGTTACCTTTTATATTCGATTTTGGTATGGATTTCGTTATAATGTTAACACCATCGTTGTTAATGATTGTGTTTATCTGTTGTGAAGTCTATTCATCAATCACCATTTTTATTCAATTCCCAACAAAATGTCGAAATTCGTGAATTTAGAAGCTGGCATGTGTGAACTCAAAAGTCAAACTGCAACTTCTTTTTGACCTTGAAAGTCAAACCTTCCTCATATATTTCCTCTTCTTCTTCTTCTTCAATCAGGTATGACCCTATAGCTGGATTCTGGGGAGTGATGAACCAACCTTGCCTTGGGATTATTCCTGTAAGATCGGTTTTGTTGTCTTCATTTTTGAGTTCAATTCGTTCTATTTTTTTTGTGTTTGATGTGAAAATTCAATCCGATTGCTACCATTTTGCAGCCATTTATCGAAGAATTTGACTATCCGCTGCCTAAGAACTGCGGTGCTGGGAACACTAGGGTTTTTGTGAACGGAAGAGAACTCAACCAAAAAGATTTAGATCTTCTTGCAGGCAGAGGTCTTCCGACGACGAAAGATAAGTCTTATATCATCGACATTTCCGGGAAAGTCGTGGATGAAGACACCGGCGAAGAACTTGATGGTCTTGGCAAGCTTGCTCCGACGTAAATTTTGACTTTTTTCTCGTTGTTTGTTGACCTTTTTCATGAATATAATTTGGTCTAACATTGTGTCTTGATGATCATATACAGGGTTGAGAGGGTAAAGCATGGATTCGGCATGAAAGTTCCGAAAACTGTTGTTTCTAAATGAATCAAATGGAATTTGGGTTGAAGATATTTACGTATGAGCAGTTTGGGATGTTTGTTATGTTATCCGAATTTCACGCTGTTCAGGTTTTATTCGTTTATATTTTGTGATGTTGGTAGTAAATCTTTATTTTTGTATTTAAGTTATATATGTTTTATGATAATTTTTTTAAATGAAAAAACTTGATATTAAATTAGTTATGAATTTGAGTAATTAATTAATAGTTTTGTTGAATTTATAGAATAGATGAAAAATGTCAGAAATCTTTGCAACAATAATTAGTAATGAAACGGAAGGAATATTCGCCTCGGATGTAGGAGAGAAAGAGAGTCAAGATTAAGTCAGAAGCATGCATGTGAGTTGATTTTAGTGTTGGTTAAGGAAACTTAAATATGTGTATTTTAATAGATACCAATCTTTTCTTTCCAGTGCTTTTGTATCATGGGTTAGCTTTCACAAAAAAGGTATCATATTCCGATTATAAACCAGTAAGCTAAGTTATCTTGTTATAATTTTAATATTTTAATGATCTTATTTTATGTTAGTTTTATTATATTTTTATTACATAAAACAGACATTTTATTTATTTATTTATTTTGTTTACAGTTTTATTGTAATTTTACTATATTTTTTCAGACAGAAAATAATATATTATTATATATTTATTGTGATAGTATTTTTTTTTTGTATTATTTCATTATGAAAGATAATATTATATTAATATAATCTTATTATATTTTCTTTCTAACAAATGATATAATTTTAGAATTACACTGTTATTTTATATGTATGACCGGAAAATATTATATTTTCTTTCGAAAACTATATTATGTTTATTAAGGTATTTTATATGTATGACTGAAAAACATTATATTTTCTTTTGAAAACTATATTCTCTATCTATTAAGGCTAATGGTGGGTAGTCGTTGAGATGGCGTTGTTAGAAACACAACATCGTCACTGTGGCTTCGGGTGTGCGGTTTCCAAGTGAGGGGGGCTTCCCCACCTCCTATTTCTTTATTTCAATGGTCAATTTTTTTTTTCCTATTCCAACATTAACTTTAAAATAAAAGTTATTGTTGTTGTTGTTGTTGCTGCTGTTATTGTTATTATTATTATTATTATTATTATTATTATTATTTCAACTGCTATAACAATTAATTTTTCAAAATTTTAAATACATTTATCACTTTATAGATACCAAACAAACCTAACATAATTTTCACACTTATTGAAACGTAATAAAATACTAGTAAAATTTTCGTTTTTAGAAAACCTAAAAACGATGCAACTAATTGTTTTAAAAACCCAACAATGTAAAAAGTATTCTCAAACATTAGAGTGAATCAGATAAAAAGTATGGAACAAACTTCAGGAGATGTTGTGCGATCAAGCTGGACTTTTCCATTTGGAACCAAAAGTACCTAAAACATATAAACCACAAAATTATAAGCACAAAACTTAGTGAGTTTTCCAAAATACTACATACCATACATAACATAATGAGTCAATCTCAACCCCAAGTGATTGTTACGGGTCAAATTTGTAGTCTTACCTTCACATTCTGCCATTAGCCAAATCATGGTCATTACTTGTACACGTGTTAGGGCATCGAATCCTTGTCTCCATACAATTGACAGGGGCCAAACCCTGGTCTTTCATACAAATGTTAGGGGTCAAACCTCGATCTTTCATACAAGTATCAGGGGCCAAATCCTGGTCGTCTATGCAAGAGTCACAAAGACAACTAGTATCCTAACAATATTAACTAATTGCCGGATGAATATGATTGCATGCCTCTAAAACCAAACAGACTGTTGACTGAAAGATCCGACACTACAATGGTTGGACTCATACAAGAGCTGAGAAATAGCGCCAAATCAAGCAATCTAAAACTATTTAATTATGGGAGCATGCAACCTAACGTATTTGTCAAATAACTAACTAATATCAATATAGGTTCTAAGCAGCAAACAACAAGCAATTCTCTAGCTTACATACTAGCATGTATTTCTAACATTTCACATTTAAACAATTATCACAAATACATATTTTGGGAATCACTTTCTTTTATGAGCTTTGGCTGACTATACGTATCACACTATTTCATTTTTGTATTATTCTTTTTATGAAAAGATTTATTAACTACTCAAATCCTTAGTTTGAGCCTGAAATCATACAAGTGTTCATTCCGTTCACTCAAACCAGGGCTCTGATACTAACTTGTAACATCCTGATTTTCAAGGAAAATTTTTCATTTTTATTTATTAAAATATATCAGAGTATGATTACATTGTGCGGAAACATGTTGCGAATGCACGTATGGATAGTCGAACCTTGCCTTTCTCACGGACCAATGGAGTTCCTGAAAAACATCTGTAACAACTTGGTAAGTACAAGACTTAGTGAGTTCCCCAAAATACCATATATCACAATACATATACATGCATAAAAAAATAACTCACGGTTTGCAAATAAGACATGTATCTTAGAATACGCGGGTATGTAGGTTCCCGACATCTTTAACCATTCCACCATCATCCCCTAACTAAATCCACACTGGTCTATAGATTCCATGCCTCTTTAACCGTTCCATTATCAACCCCTACCTACGTATAATATCACAATAACTATGCATATCTAGAGATTGCACTTTAGATTCTACTATACTGACACATTTATACTTTCTACACTACGAGTCCACACTTAAGCACATAGAGATTATACTACACAAGTCTGTGTGACTCTTGTATGTGTATGTGCTTATATGATTTGTATGTTGGGTGGGGCCCATTATGTGAGCATGGTTGGGCCCATTATGTGAGAGTGGGTGGGGCCCGATACACTCATTGGACGGGGCTCATTATATGTTTATTTATGTATGGTCTATGTTATGTTGGGGAACTCACTAAACATTGTGGTTACAGTTTTCAGTTTATGTTTAAGGTACTTTTGGTTCCAAAGGGAAGAGCTCAGGATGATTGTAGAACACACCACATGTTTCCACATTTTGTGATTTACTCTGATTATTGATGATCTATTGATACAATTTGTCTATCTAGATTTTTATGATGAGGTTTTTGGGATATTGGTTTTATTAAATTAAAAATAAATTTTTCCGGGTCTTATTTTTGGGACGTTACAAGTTGGTATCAGAGCCTTGGTTTGAGGGATTCAGACATACACTCGAGTGTGTCTGAACTCCAACTGAACATTTGGTAAATTTTTCAAAAAGAAATGTTTTAAAGAGAAAAACATGTTTTCTAATACAAGAAAGGGTGTGGTGCATGTAATCGACCGAGCTCAAGTAAGTTTTACCAAACTACCCATACATGTTATCTGATATGATTTGATTTGTGAATCTGTGAATCGCATGCTAGTTAGGGCTAAGTATTTGCTCAATATTTTCATGATAGAATGCTAGGAGAGATGCCTTTATATTCCTATTTGTCACAACTAGAAATTTTTGTGCCTTGTAACTACAACACTTAAGTCAAATTATGAATCAAAGACATAAGAGCATGTATGATGCATACTCTATGACAACAAAATTTCAATCTAACACACCATGCAAGCATTTCAAGTAGTCAATAAGCAATTGGAAACCCTAGAAGTTCTTGTTTAAGTCCATTTTGGACTAGGACTTCCTTATTGGGCCCAATGGACCAATAAGCTTCCAATTTGACCACCTTGGGCTTAGAACTCTTAAATGGGCTCTAATTGGACCCACTTCCATTTATTTCAATATTTTGGGCCATATTGGGCCTAGAATGAAATAAATTAATTATATGAACCATTTTGGGCCATAATTAACCTAATTTAGCCCTAATAGGTCATAAGACTCACGTTTATGATTATTTGGACCAAACATCACTTAACATAACCATGAAAAAGGCTTAAGCATACAAGACCCAAATTCTTTTCTCTTCCTCTCTAATTCTCGGTCCAAGCCCAAAAGGAGAAGAAGAAGTTGATGTTTGCATGACACCTCATCTTTGCATGGAAGATATCTAGGTTGTTACACTTCAAACATCCATGCCATCTCATGTTTTCATGCAACTCACTTCAAAAATCACTCTTCTCCTCTCTCTCTCTTGCTCTCGACCGATTCCAAGCACACACACACACACACATTTCTCTCACAAATCTCTCAAGGAAACTCCCTCCACTCTTCATCAAGTTCTCGAAATTTAGAAGGTTTTTCAAGAAGATATTTCCACAAATTCTTCATCTAAGGTAAGATCATGCTTGGATCTATGATCTAGGTTCTTTGTTTTATCAAAAATCTCTTTCTAATCCATGCAAAATCATGATCACTCTCTTAGAAACCCTCTAAGTTCGAAATCATCAAAGGAAGGCTTGTTAGGGCCGAAAACAACATCAAGCTCCTTCCAATCTTCTTCAAAACCGAAACTACAACTCAAGGTGAGCTTCATACCCCCTTTCTTTCGGTTTTTATGAGTTTTTATGGGGGAGAATACAAGCAAATGTGTAGATCTATGAGTAAATGTATGCTTTGTGTGATTTGATGCATGTTTGTGTGTAATATCATGTGTTGTGATGAATATGTTAGCCAAAAAGTACCTAAAAACCGAGATCTATAACATGAGGGATGAAATAAACATAACTTACACCATTTTACACTAATCAAGTCAAGAAAAATAGTTCATTTGGTTAGGATGAACATATTTGGACATAAAACCAATTTTTGGGCTTAAATTGTCAAAAATACAAAACTAAGGGCCCAAAACAACAAATTATAATTTCTGGAGGTTGAAAAGGGTCCAAACAGTTTCTAATACAATTTTTCTGAATATCAACATTTTTGAGGGGCTTAAAATGTAAATTTGAACCTAATGGGCTAAAATGGGCTTTTCGGCCCAATAAGCTCCAATTTGCGAAATTTTTAAATTTGAGGGGCTGGAAATGTAACTTTCTATAAAACAGGGGATTTCAAGTGTATTAAAACCATTTCAAAGGTCAAAAATGTTTTTCAAATTCAAAAGGGATCAAAAATGCAAAACTTTTCCATTTTGGGCCAAAACTGTAAAAGTTGCGAAAATGGGGGTTCCAACCGAGAAAACTTCATTTTTGAAGGACTTAAGCTGTTTACAAAGTAAATTTGGGCTGAAAATGTCTTTTCAATAAGTTATGGTACTAAAGTGTCAAGAAAAAAAATGGTTTGAGGACTAAAATGGAAATTCTTTTATATAAAGAATTAAAAGTGCAAATTTTATCAAAGAAGGGTCGTGAAAAGGTAAAATCTTACTTTTAAACAAATAAACCCCTTAAGACAAAATACGAGATCCACGACTACCGGCGAAACGTAATAACAAATACACTTTCAACACCAATATCGTTACCAAACGAATTGATTCGGTCTCGAATCAATAACAAATCAAAAATCAATAAACAATAGTACTTCAATAAACACGCGAAATCTACGAGGAGTCAATATTCAATCTTTGGGCTCGAAAGTTTCAAATCGT